CCAAAAAATATCTCGGTATAATAACAAACAAATTTACGGCTGCAGTCCAAAAAAAATTTGGGATCAGCTAGTCAACACATTACATTCTTTGGGTTATGGCAACTTGAGTGTCAATGAGTATAAAAGTGTAAGTTGGGATTTACCTCATATGATAATAAATGTTTAGTTTATTTCTTTTTACTTTCCTATCTGTATACAGATATAAGGAAAGTATAGGAATCATGATTTTTTTCGACCTCGAGTTTTTGACGGATTTTTACGTTTTGAGGTCCCCTGAATCCGTTTTGACTATTTTCGCGATGATGTCTGTGTGTCTGTGTGTCTGTGTGTCTGTGTGTCTGTGTGTCTGTGTGTCTGTGTGTCTGTGTGTCTGTGTGTCTGTGTGTCTGTGTGTCTGTGTGTCTGTGTGTCTGTGTGTCTGTGTGTCTGTGTGTCTGTGTGTCTGTGTGTCTGTGTGTCTGTGTGTCTGTGTGTCTGTGTGTCTGTGTGTCTGTGTGTCTGTGTGTCTGTGTGTCTGTGTGTCTGTGTGTCTGTGTGTCTGTGTGTCTGTGTGTCTGTATGTCTGTGTGTCTGTGTGTCTGTGTGTCTGTGTGTCTGTGTGCCTGTGTGTCTGTGTGTCTGTGTGTCTGTGTGTCTGTGTGTCTGTGTGTCTGTGTGTCTGTGTGTCTGTGTGTCTGTGTGTCTGTGTGTCTGTGTGTCTGTGTGTCTGTGTGTCTGTGTGTCTGTGTGTCTGTGTGTCTGTGTGTCTGTGTGTCTGTGTGTCTGTGTGTCTGTGTGTCTGTGTGTCTGTGTGTCTGTGTGTCCGTGTGTCTGTGTGTCTGTGTGTCTGTGTGTCTGTGTGTCTGTACGTCTATGGGTCTGTACGTGTGCGTCTGTGTGTCTGTGTGTCTGTGTGTCTGTGTGTCTGTGTGTCTGTGTGTCTGTGTGTCTGTGTGTCTGTGTGTCTGTGTGTCTGTGTGTCTGTGTGTCTGTGTGTCTGTGTGTCTGTGTGTCTGTGTGTCTGTGTGTCTGTGTATCTGTATGTCTGTGTATCTGTATGTCTGTGTATCTGTGTGTCTGTGTGTCTGTGTGTCTGTGTGTCTGTGTGTCTGTGTGTCTGTGTGTCTGTGTGTCTGTGTGTCTGTGTGTCTGTGTGTCTGTGTGTCTGTGTGTCTGTGTGTCTGTGTGTCTGTGTGTCTGTGTGTCTGTGTGTCTGTGTGTCTGTGTGTCTGTGTGTCTGTGTGTCTGTGTGTCTGTGTGTCTGTGTGTCTGTGTGTCTGTGTGTCTGTGTGTCTGTGTGTCTGTGTGTCTGTGTGTCTGTGTGTCTGTGTGTCTGTGTGTCTGTGTGTCTGTGTGTCTGTGTGTCTGTGTGTCTGTGTGTCTGTGTGTCTGTGTGTCTGTGTGTCTGTGTGTCTGTGTGTCTGTGTGTATGTGTGTCTGTGTGTCTGTGTGTCTGTGTGTCTGTGTGTCTGTGTGTCTGTGTGTCTGTGTGTCTGTGTGTCTGTGTGTCTGTGTGTCTGTGTGTCTGTGTGTCTGTATGTCTGTGTGTCTGTGTGGCTGTGTGTCTGTGTGCCTGTGTGTCTGTGTGTCTGTGTGTCTGTGTGTCTGTGTGTCTGTGTGTCTGTGTGTCTGTGTGTCTGTGTGTCTGTGTGTCTGTGTGTCTGTGTGTCTGTGTGTCTGTGTGTCTGTGTGTCTGTGTGTCTGTGTGTTTGTGTGTCTGTGTGTCTGTGTGTCTGTGTGTCTGTGTGTCTGTGTGTCTGTGTGTCTGTGTGTCTGTGTGTCTGTGTGTCTGTGTGTCTGTGTGTCTGTGTGTCTGTGTGTCTGTGTGTCTGTGTGTCTGTGTGTCTGTGTGTCCGTGTGTCCGTGTGTCTGTGTGTCTGTGTGTCTGTGTGTCGGTGTGTCTGTGTGTCTGTGTGTCTGTGTGTCTGTGTGTCTGTGTGTCGGTGTGTCTGTGTGTCTGTGTGTCTGTGTGTCTGTGTGTCTGTGTGTCTGTATGTCTGTGTGTCTGTGTGTCTGTGTGGCTGTGTGTCTGTGTGTCTGTGTGTCTGTGTGCCTGTGTGTCTGTGTGTCTGTGTGTCTGTGTGTCTGTGTGTCTGTGTGTCTGTGTGTCTGTGTGTCTGTGTGTCTGTGTGTCTGTGTGTCTGTGTGTCTGTGTGTCTGTGTGTCTGTGTGTCTGTGTGTCTGTGTGTCTGTGTGTCTGTGTGTCTGTGTGTCTGTGTGTCTGTGTGTCTGTGTGTCTGTGTGTCTGTGTGTCTGTGTGTCTGTGTGTCCGTGTGTCTGTGTGTCTGTGTGTCTGTGTGTCTGTGTGTCTGTGTGTCTGTGTGTCTGTACGTCTATGGGTCTGTACGTGTGCGTCTGTGTGTCTGTGTGTCTGTGTGTCTGTGTGTATGTGTGTCTGTGTGTCTGTGTGTCTGTGTGTCTGTGTGTCTGTGTGTCTGTGTGTCTGTGTGTCTGTGTGTCTGTGTGTCTGTGTGTCTGTGTGTCTGTGTGTCTGTGTGTCTGTGTGTCTGTGTGTCTGTGTGTCTGTGTGTCTGTGTGTCTGTGTGTCTGTGTGTCTGTGTGTCTGTGTGTCTGTGTGTCTGTGTGTCTGTGTGTCTGTGTGTCTGTGTGTCTGTGTGTCTGTGTGTCTGTGTGTCTGTGTGTCTGTGTGTCTGTGTGTCTGTGTGTCTGTGTGTCTGTGTGTCTGTGTGTCTGTGTGCCTGTGTGTCTGTGTGTCTGTGTGTCTGTGTGTCTGTGTGTCTGTGTGTCTGTGTGTCTGTGTGTCTGTGTGTCTGTGTGTCTGTGTGTCTGTGTGTCTGTGTGTCTGTGTGTCTGTGTGTCTGTGTGTCTGTGTGTCTGTGTGTCTGTGTGTCTGTGTGTCTGTGTGTCCGTGTGTCTGTGTGTCTGTGTGTCTGTGTGTCTGTGTGTCTGTACGTCTATGGGTCTGTACGTGTGCGTCTGTGTGTCTGTGTGTCTGTGTGTCTGTGTGTCTGTGTGTCTGTGTGTCTGTGTGTCTGTGTGTCTGTGTGTCTGTGTGTCTGTGTGTCTGTGTATCTGTATGTCTGTGTATCTGTATGTCTGTGTATCTGTGTGTCTGTGTGTCTGTGTGTCTGTGTGTCTGTGTGTCTGTGTGTCTGTGTGTCTGTGTGTCTGTGTGTCTGTGTGTCTGTGTGTCTGTGTGTCTGTGTGTCTGTGTGTCTGTGTGTCTGTGTGTCTGTGTATCTGTGTGTCTGTGTGTCTGTGTGTCTGTGTGTCTGTGTGTCTGTGTGTCTGTGTGTCTGTGTGTCTGTGTGTCTGTGTGTCTGTGTGTCTGTGTGTCTGTGTGTATGTGTATCTGTATGTCTGTGTATCTGTGTGTCTGTGTGTCTGTGTGTCTGTGTGTCTGTGTATCTGTGTGTCTGTGTGTCTGTGTGTATGTGTGTATGTGTGTATGTGTGTATGTGTGTATGTGTGTATGTGTGTATGTGTGTATGTGTGTCTGTGTGTCTGTGTGTCTGTGTGTCTGTGTGTCTGTGTGTCTGTGTGTCTGTGTGTCTGTGTGTCTGTGTGTCTGTGTGTCTGTGTGTCTGTGTGTCTGTGTGTCTGTGTGTCTGTGTGTCTGTGTGTCTGTGTGTCTGTGTGTCTGTGTGTCTGTGTGTCTGTGTGTCTGTGTGTCTGTGTGTCTGTGTGTCTGTGTGTCTGTGTGTCTGTGTGTCTGTGTGTCTGTGTGTCTGTGTGTCTGTGTGTCTGTGTGTCTGTGTGTTTGTGTGTCTGTGTGTCTGTGTGTCTGTGTGTCTGTGTGTCTGTGTGTCTGTGTGTCTGTGTGTCTGTGTGTCTGTGTGTCTGTGTGTCTGTGTGTCTGTGTGTCTGTGTGTCTGTGTGTCTGTGTGTCTGTGTGTCTGTGTGTCTGTGTGTCTGTGTGTCTGTGTGTCTGTGTGTCTGTGTGTCTGTGTGTCTGTGTGTCTGTGTGTCTGTGTGTCTGTGTGTCTGTGTGTCTGCGTGCCTGTGTGTCTGTGTGTCTGTGTGTCGTATAACTCATGAACCGATACACAGAAAAACACCAAATTTTAAACTTAAGCTTTATTCCAGCGTCTAATGAACATATTATATTTTGGACAGAGTCGGAACATCTAGGGGGGTACTTTATGGGTAATCATTTTTTATATTTTATGGAATATATCTGTTATTTACGTTTGGAGAAGAACATTCTTAATTCTTTAAATAAAAGTTACTAATATTATTATCTATAATTTTTATTCAATACATAATTTCTCTAAAGTGGACCGTATTCGAGATATTTGAGAAAATGTGTAAATTTCGAATTTTGAAGAAAATTCAAAAACGGAATAGGAAAAAAACATTAATATTTAAACTTAAGGTTTATTTCGGCCTGACGTAAAATGATTAGATTTTGGACAAAGTCGGAACATTTGGGGGGTACTTTATGGGAGGCCGTTTTTATATTTTATGGAATATATCTATTATTTATGTTTGGAGAAGAAAATTGTTCAAATAAAAGTTACTTCTAATATTATTAACTATAATTTTTGCTTTATGTCAAAATTTTCTGAAATGGTCCGTATTCGAGAAATTTGACAAAATGTGCAAAATTCTGATTTTTATGAAAATTGTTGAACTAAAAGTTGTTTGCGATATCGATCTCTATAATTTTTGTTTATACATGATTTTTCTAAAATGGATCGTAATGGAAAAATTGTATGAAAAGTGCTAAATTTAAATTTTTCAGTATTTTCGTTTTCAATGAATATCTATAGAAAAATGTTTCGAGGTAGATGTATGTGGACAATGTATATATTTAGTTTATCCTCTAAACATTTATAGAGATGCTGCAATAGGTTGTACAAAATAACCGGAAAAAGCCTATAATAACTAGATAGGAAAGTCGTATGTTGGACACATCAGATTTTTTATAGAGACTGACAGATTGACAATCTAAAATTAAGAGTAAAGCTGCCGACATTAATAAGGCGCTGATCAGTACTGGCGGTGGTGAACATTCAGGGGTAGTTTTAAACAAGTTTGATAAAAAATTATTATCATTGATGGGTAATAAAGCGCTAGAAGGAGACGTCGTTGCTGAATTTGGTTTGTCCCATCAGATAGATGAGCTTCCTCAAAAGAAGCAAAAATTATCTTCATCAGCAATTAATGAAATAAAACATATTCCATCAACAGTTACATCGTTTACAATTAATGATTTAGTAAAGCCCAAATTGGCATTCAGTTCTGTAAGTGAATGTGAAATTATTGATGCAGAACCAGAACATAGCTATAGTATGAAAGAAAATACAAAACAAACTGTAGATTATAGTGCACAATCTGTTTCTAGTAAGAGGAGGAACTGGCAAATTTAAGTGAAGATGTAAGGTCAATGAATGACAAGACGTTCTCTATGTTACATCAGATTCCAATTTAACAAATATGAACAATAATTTAATAGAAGTGAACAAAAATATTTAAATAAAATATCAAGTAATGTTGCCAATTTTACAATACTTAAAAATAGAACATTAATAAATCCACTTGTGTACAAATCGATTTATTTCTTAGTTTATTTTTGTTATAAATGTGCAAATAGATTTTTTAGTTTTTATTTTTTTTTGTGAATGAAAGATTATTTGTTTATCATCTAGGTTATAAACCAAGTAAGTATTATTTTTTGTATTGGATATTTTAAAAACGTTCTAGAATAAAGTTTTTTAAAAAATTGGGTTGGTTGTTTTTTTGGGGGCTAAGTCTAGTGTACCACCAGCAGTGTTTAAATTTGTAATTTGTTGGGTCCCTTGGTGAATAATAAAATATAAAAACTTTCAGAACTCTAAAAATTTTTATTATCTATTATTATTTATAAAAAAAATTATCTAAAATATCGCCAAATTAATTACCTTTTAGCTTTTATATTTTGTCTTGGAAAAGGTAAGGCAAGTCAAAATCTTCAGGCATTCTTGCATATTATGCAAAACTGCACAGGCACTTACTATCTGGCCAACTACTTATGGATCATATCTTAATTTTCGTTCCCCTAGAAGACATCTAAAACGTCCTTTAAGAACTCCAATACAGCGTTCAATACAATTTCGAGCTTCAATGTGTGCTGAAGTATATCGAAATTCTAGTATGCCTGGAATAGCATTCACAATAGGTGTCATTAAATAGGACTTTTGAAAGTAACCTGAATCTCCAAGTAGTCATGTATTTCTATCACGTAAAAATATAAAATTAAGAATTATGTATTTTTTAAAGTTTTACGTTTGTAGACTATAGAACTCTGTACTCATTTTCTTTATTGGTATATTTTTCCTAGCTTAATAAGTAAATCATGTGAGTAAAAACCAAATAAATATTCTTACCACCATTGTATTTCCAATCTAGTTCTGCAGACACTGCAAATTGTCTAAATATATATGAGTCACGAGTAGTTTCTACATATCTTGCATTTACATTTAGAATTTCTAAATTATAATTACATATAAAAAAAAATGATGATTATTAATAATTCTAGAATACCATTATTAAAATATATTCAAGAAATTACATCAGTAAAATGACTTACCAAATGCACATTTTTCCTGGTAAAATAATTATGTTCTTGTTCTGCTGGAGCAATTATTGCAATGTGTGCAATCTACCGCGCTCAACACACCAGGAAATTCAGTTCTTTCCATAAAAGTTGCTTTTGTTTTATTAATAAATTCTTGTTCTGAAGGAAACTTTATCCACTGTTGAGAATTTACTATCAGTGTTGTCACCAGCTTAATGTACCTACTCACAGTTTGTTGGCATGTAGGAAATATTAAATCCTCTCCAATAGTTCTTTGGTAGGCTCCCACTGCATATAAATATCAAGCTATTAAAACCCGAAGTTCAGGTTCATTTTTAACTTGCATCTGTAGAATTAATATTGGAAAAATAATACTGATATTCTATGCGTTTATGACTTACATAGTACGAAAATACCAACTGGAAATGGTTCTTTCTTTTGAGCCTTCGGTACTTAGATATTAAATAAAATTATTTCTCCGTTCATTTCCTCTTGGAAAGTTAAATAAAAGAGAAAAGCGCGATTAAAAAACATAAAGCAGTTTAATTTGTAAAATTTTACGATAAGGAAGCTGTAGTAAAAAGATTAACAGAGAAAATCACATTCCTAATAAAAAAAAACATATTTAATCGTTAATTAAGGAATAAACAATTACAAATAATTTTAAGGTTAAACTCAATGTTTGGCAAATTTTAAATTAAAGAAATAAGCACACAATGTTTCCTTACCAAGTAGCGTGTTAACTTCAAGTCATATTTCTTTAACTTAAATTGCCGATTCATAAAAATGAAAATAAATTACCAAAAAATTAGAATTCACCGACAACGACGCCCGCCTCCACATTTCTTCAGCTTGCAAATTATCCTGAGTTCCCTTAAAAACGCCCTTTCTCAAAACTGTATATAATCTCATTTCTGCGGAATATTAGCAAAACATTTTTAATGTAAATGTTAGCGCGATGCGCTCTTATCGCTGGCAATATTTCAGGAAGCACGAGTCATCCAGAAGCCGCGGAAAAGGCCATGGAAAATGGAAGACGTCCAGGTCTTTTTAGGACTTTCCACACTCCCAGTCACGACCGACCTCTGAATAAATAGTGTTCTTCGATGTTTGCATTTTAAATTTCAGGATTTTCCTTTTCCACACGTCTACCGTATAATTTTGCATATTATATAAGACACCGTGCATTGTATGCTCCATGAAATTATGTTATGGATTTTTTACACTTTATTTTACAAGACTTATTTCACAGTCCTCAACATAAAAATCATTGTTAATAGGCGCTATTAAAGATGACAATATAAAAAAGTAATATGACTATTATGAAAAACTGAATAATTGTTTCAGTATTATAAGGTAAATTAAATAAAAAACCTAGTCCCACATAAATTTTAATCAAATTTAAGAAACCGGTTGTGGCTAATCAGCCATTTTTAACCAGAAAATATCAGAAAATATCAGAAAATATCAGAAAATATCAGAAAATATCAGAAAATATCAGAAAATATCAGAAAATATCAGAAAATATCAGAAAATATCAGAAAATATCAGAAAATATCAGAAAATATCAGAAAATATCAGAAAATATCAGAAAATATCAGAAAATATCAGAAAATATCAGAAAATATCAGAAAATATCAGAAAATATCAGAAAATATCAGAAAATATCAGAAAATATCAGAAAATATCAGAAAATATCAGAAAATATCAGAAAATATCAGAAAATATCAGAAAATATCAGAAAATATCAGAAAATATCAGAAAATATCAGAAAATATCAGAAAATATCAGAAAATATCAGAAAATATCAGAAAATATCAGAAAATATCAGAAAATATCAGAAAATATCAGAAAATATCAGAAAATATAAGAAAATATCAGAAAATATCAGAAAATATCAGAAAATATCAGAAAATATCAGAAAATATCAGAAATTATCAGAAAATATCAGAAAATTTTAGAAAATATCAGAAAATATCAGAAAATATCAGAAAATATCAGAAAATATCAGAAAATATCAGAAAATATCAGAAAATATCAGAAAATATCAGAAAATATCAGAAAATATCAGAAAATATCAGAAAATATCAGAAAATATCAGAAAATATCAGAAAATATCAGAAAATATCAGAAAATATCAGAAAATATCAGAAAATATCAGAAAATATCAGAAAATATCAGAAAATATCAGAAAATATCAGAAAATATCAGAAAATATCAGAAAATATCAGAAAATATCAGAAAATATCAGAAAATATCAGAAAATATCAGAAAATATCAGAAAATATAAGAAAATATCAGAAAATATCAGAAAATATCAGAAAATATCAGAAAATATCAGAATTATTATAGTACCTACACTTCTCCTCAAATATAACAAAAATACGTCAAATAGTATTAAACAAATAATTTTTATATTTAATTATTATATATAGAATCTTAAAAAAGGTGAAGATTTAACGAAAATGATCTAGATTGTATTTTATTAGTTTTTTTGTACAACAAAATGCAGCTCTACTGCTCTGATACTTTGAATCAGAACTTGGTCTAAATCTATCAACGTATCACTCTTATTTTAAAACAACTACAGCATGGAACTCTATTGCGTAAGTACGACTTGCACTTAGCCGAATTGTTTCATATGTTTTTGATTTTCTAGATAGTAATCTTGAAGAAAATTAAATGTTAAAAATTAAAATCAGATAATTTGATTTAAATTTTGTCCGTATTCACTTTTATATTTGGACATCTAACATTACGTAAATTATCGTTCATTTAACGGATATAATTATTATCAAATTATTTCATTTTTTAGTAATGGCCGAATTAATCCGAGCTTACATTATTTATTCATATAAGATATACAAGATTGTTGGGTTTACAAAACAATACCCTATATATCGAAATTTTCAAAATTCGTTTAAATATTTGAAAAAAGCACAAAAAACTGAAATTTAATTTTTTATTGGTCATACAAATTTACTAATCAAATTTTCAACTTGAATTCAAATTTTTGTGCATGTAGTAGATTAAACTGGAATGTTATGGATTTTTTATATTAACCCTATCAGTGGATTTGTTCCTTGAGGGGTACATCAATTGCAATTCCATGTAATAGTAAAATATACAGTCAGCTGAATCTAGGTGACTTTGTATGCTTTGTACCGTATACGTAGCCGTGAGCGCAATCTGCAACGTCTACGTTATCATTTCTAAACTAGCAGATATAAACAAAAAATCTCGGTATGCTGGTGACAGTAGCAAGTGCATTTGTCTTTGTTAATGTTTTTAATTATTTAGTATATAAGTGTTTCTAGTATGTATAAAGGTTACTTTTTGAAGGGGTACCTTCTTTATTGCTGCAAGGTTTTTTAATAAATGTTCATCATAAAAATATGTTCATAAACAGAGATAAACGCACTTTAGTAGAAAAAAGTGCACACTGACAATAGTAGTTTGTTCAACAAGAATGGATATGATGGCCATATCGCACGAAGACTAAGTTTCACTGCGATAAGGACAATTCACTCAAGTTGCACAGTATATTTTTACTACGACCCACGAACAAAAATCTACAAATTTAAAAAATGATTAAAGGTCATTAAGACGAAGTAACTATTTTTAAAATAATTTATAAAATAAAATAAACATGAAAAAATATATCCGATCTCGGGCTTTTTGGGTGGAAGGCAGTTAGTTTTAATACTCGTAATTAAATTAGTTTCATATAGTTTGATTCAAATTTAAATTATTTTTTCAAAATGTGGACCAAATAAAAATGATACTA